TGAAACTCTGTCAGTATTTCAACTTGAGGACAATTGACCTGGAGGAACACAGAAGACACAAGATCAAAAAAATTTAATCGACTAATGTTAGCCTTGGACATCGCAGAATAAACCGTGAGCTACATTTTGCTGTCGGTGTGAGCTTATTTGCTTCACCAGGATGACCTTCTTTGCGTGTTTTGTGTTGCTTTGCATTAGCATGTGAGTCCTTCTACGCACAACTACTGTAGCGCACCGAAACTTTTCATTTGGAGGAAGGCATTCGATTGGGCTTATTGCACGTACTCTAGGAGGAGAAGAAAAAGTTAGCTTTGGGTTGGCCCGACGGCCAGCTCACGCATGCAAGAGCAAGACAAATGCCAAAGTTACTCCGATGGGTACAAGTCGTCGCACAAAGCATTAGAACTACTCGATAATTATTTTATTCGAATTCTGACCGTGTCATGGTGCTTACCATTATAACCGAGCCACTAGCAAGTATACATCAACGGCTGTGCATTTAAACCTCCTAAATCCCATCACTAGTCATCGACAACCAGTAGGTGGTATTTTAGTGATGTTAATATTACCGCGGTATGACGTGAGCAAAGAGTATGGGAACACTGACTACAAGCCCATCAGATCAAGAGTGGAGACCAATGAGCATGGATCAGAGCGTCGACCATACCAATTGAAGACCATGGCAGTAAGAGGTCCACCATGACCACTGGAATCCAAGACCGCCTCATTAAGGCTATTCAGAGATAAATGGATGATAGCATAGCTCGCCTGTGTCCATGGATTTGGAACCAGTTAAAACTCTTGAAAAAAAAACGGATTTAAACGTTAGTTTAGGGTAACAGACTCCAGACAGATTGTAGCGCGTAGAAGGACTTAGGGGACTTGAAGTCACACTGGTATCTGTGACTCGGGGCGACTACACCTTGGAATCAGTGTTGACTACACCCAAGATGAGTGGCTTCTTTTTGGCCGGTGGAAGAGAAAACTGCGAGATGGATGCGTGCATGCACGCATTACGAGGCAAAGGTATCGTTCACCCACTGGTTACGCAAGTCCTCGAGGCAAAACTGCTCATGCATCATTATGAAGAAGTCACAAGAACAAAAACCGCATTAAAATCAGGATCTTGTTGCGTTCAGCGCCTAGAAATGATAGCCACATGGTGTTTAATAAGTCAGAAGTAGGTACCACAAATAACAGCAAAGTTTGCTCAAACACATTGCACTTTATTTCCAGAAAAGCAGTGAAATATCAAAACAAAGGCTGGAATGACATTGAAACAGTGCTGATGATTTATTGTGCCACGATCAACAGGATGATAGCGTATGAGAAGGCGAAGTTATGCTTAGTGTCTAGAGGCATCAAGAAAGCCGACATCTTTGCTTCCGACAACATGAGCGGCGTGGACAGTATTCCTTGGAACAAAAATTGTGTCGCCAGCAGAGAGAACCACAGTTTTCCCGTTCATAGTAAAGGAGAACTCGCCCGCGGTGATTCCGTCCTTCTTGTCGACCGAATGTGTGTGGTCGGGGAACACGGTCCCAGGAGAGAAGGTGTAGGGTATGACCGTGAATCCTTCCTTTTCCAGCTTTTCCTTCAACTTTCCTTCGGAGAATACGCCGTCAGTATTCACGTCCCAGTGAGTGATTTTCAAATCGCTCATCTAGATCGTACAACATATTGGGTACCAGATGCTCATCACTTAAGGAACTTAGTTCAGAATAAAATGCACGCGTAATCCCTGAATACTAAAATAAGAATATTATGATACAAAAGAAAGACCGACATTCTGTTCCAAGAACTGCGTAGCATGCAGACCTTCCAGTGGAGATGGTACGTCGTACTCTGACAACAGTAAAGCAGAGCCCATGCATCCCACAAAAATCTGCGGATACTTATTAAATGGTTAGGGTTAGGGTGCTATACGCTAAACAACCCCAATCATTGAACAGGAAATTAAGAGTAATACAATATGAATCATAAAGCGATCTAAAGCGTGTGTTAACATGCCTACAACAGGACTTTTCACGAAGTACCTCCACAGGCCCCAGAGTCGAGCACACGGGTAGGCTATTTAGGTGCCTACTGTGGCAAGGACACAATTTGTTGTCTACAAGCGCCTAATTATATAAATCTACAAATATCTACCGAAAACGGTTAAAAGCTGCCTAAATTCATAAATCATCATATGTGGACACAAGCGCATAATAATATAGTAACAAAAGGATGATAAAGAAGGCGATTGCTGATCGATAATGTTGGCTCTGATATGGCATGGAACATATATATCAATTCACCTGCAACCTGTCAGTTTTTAATGATTAAAGTTTCGGTAAACGGATTTGTGGAGCCTCCTAGCCTATCCTCGGGCATTTGAACCCCTAACCTCATGGGAAGATTGGTTGGGAAGTTTTATTTTACACCATGCACATAAAGGAAGCCAACGTCACCCCGCGGATGTACTTTAAATTTCCTCACGAACGGAGTGCGTGCTTGAATTGCTTAACCGCCTTTCCTCTATAAAGGTCACTTAAACACGTCTATACATGTACTACAGGTTACTTCAAAAACTAGGTGAACTGATTTTTAAAATGTATTGACATATGTAGAATCCTGATTGTAATACCTTGTTTGTGCGATCAACTGATGCCTGGTTGACTGGCTTTCGGGCCAAGGTCAGGCTTAATCCCTTTGTTCTCCCTGGAATACATGTATTCAGCCCACTTAATGCCTTCTTCTACCTGGTAGGAAGTATTGGAAGGCTACAGTGAGACCTCCCATTTATTATACTGCATTGCGTTGGGTAGAATACATGCATTCTCGAAGGTGAAGAAAGTATTGAGCTCTGACTTAGCCCGAATGCCAGCCAACGCACACAAGGGCAAGAGCAAGCACCCAAATTAAAGCCAAACACCAGGTAGTCACATAAATAAGGTATTATAATTGTAATGTTTTGTTTATGTGACTATCTGACATTTGCCCGTCGAATTTCGAATACATGTATTCACCCTTATTTATGCCCTCTACTACCCTATAGGAAGCCTCGGGACACA